ACACACACACACACACACACACACACACACACACACACACACACACAAAGACATAATGCACTCAGCCCAGATAAAAGAATGCAACATAGAGAGCATTCAGCGTCATTAGAAAATGTGAAGAGAGGAAAACAAAGATTTGCGTTTCACTTTGGCCTAAATGTACAAGCTGAATAAAAAATTCCTCAGACAAGGCCGTCAGAAAAACAGCCTGTGTTCTATAAATGAATCAGTCTGTGACTATACTGCAAAGGCAGCAACAACAAAACCTTCAAACTCTCGAATATCAAACCGATGCATTATTAGTCACCTTCTATAATTACTCATTCGTACATTTTACTCAATTGATTGTTTTTAAGGTTCAGCTGCTTCTGAGGTTTCTTCAAAGCTGATGATCCTTCAGCATCTCTGGGTTTTGTTGATGCACCGAATCTTCTTCTTCTTACTGATGAATAATCACGTAATATATCTTAGACATAATCACTATTAAAATGCCAGACTAGCTAGCAGCCAAAGAAGCCAGAATAAAATTGGAGTGAAAAACGTTTTTCTTTGTTTGTGCTGCAATTGGAATTGAATCGATCCAATAATCAGCATCGAATATTGACCCTACTTGTTTTCAGAGCTGTGTGTGGTCAGAGGGAGTCTCTCTGTCAAAAGGGAGTGTGTGTCTGTGGCGTCACTCGCGACCTTTCGGCCTCTCTCATCAGTTAAGCGTTGCTAATGCCACCCAGGACACCTGTTGTTGCTCTGACCCAAGCCACCTGACTCTAAAGACCCCGCTCAGCCTGTATCGCTAACTGCATGTGTGTCATCTCACCAGCTCGACAGATAACAAGAGACACAGTGCAAAACGCCATATGTTTAAACAAAGTCTGCCGTCTCGCATGACCCTGAAACATTTCACACTTAAAAACGGATCACGGGAAATATTGTAATCAGTAATAAACATGCAGTGTAATGGCTGACGGCCATTTTCTTTATTTTCCACATTTTCATTTACAGGCAAAGCAAAACATTTTCAACATTTAGAAAACATTAAATGGCACTTAAGTCTTCATTAGAAGGCCACGAAACAAGGTTGACATTGCATTATACATGTACACTCACTTAAAACTGATATAACATTAAAAAAATATCTATCTTTCCAAGCAGAGACACTAAATAATGTAAGACTACACAACACATGCAATAATTAACGTAATGAATGTACATTCAAAATACATATGTGACAGTTTCAATCTTTTGTTGGATGCTTGGTCACAATATCCACTGCAACATATCACAAATAGGAATATGTCACAAGATTGACACTAGGAATATATAATTCTCACGTTTTGTTCAAATAGAAAAGGCAGGAGGGGAAAAAAGCACAGTGACAGACTCACTAGTATCACTGGCATCAGTTCCACATGGAAAGAATAAAGCTTTTCAATGAGCTGAGGTTTTCTCTAATGAGCCAGAAAATGAACATTAGTGTTTCTTTAACTGAGTCTATTGCACAAATGCTCCAACAAGTGCCACGACACAGATAAAGTGCAAAATAGCATTCGTCCACCAACATTCCCCCTTAAAAATGACTGAGTGAACACGTCAGGATCAGAGGCTTGATTGAAGTTGGCTCTAAGCCCATTTCCTAGTTAAGATGGAGACATAACATTAGCAAGACCTGTTAATCTTCCCTCCCACACAGTGCACGCAAACGCCAGCTCACATGCTCATGCCAAACTGTCAGCTATAGTCTGGACCTCAGCGTACTTGTAGTAGTCGCAGGACCTGCGTGCGTCTGGCTTGGATTTTCATGGCTTTGGACGGTGCATGGAGGGAGGGGGTTGGGTGTTAATACCTGAGGGGACCTATCTGCTACGGCGTGGACGTTTTTAAAGTACCTTAATCACATTACAATTTGCACTTTGGTGTGTTCCCACATTCAACGTCACAGATACGATTGTCAAAATGTCGAAAACTGACATGGGTATGCAAGCATTTCATTTTTCAGAAATCCTAACACTAAATATACAGTATCTCTGTGCAAAGCAGATAAAACAACACTGTTACACATCCATGTATAACATAAAGTCTGTAAAGCCTCCTCACAGTATGAGAAGACATTAATAACAAATGCTGAATGGATGGAAACATCAGTTAATCAAAGGAGAAGAAGTTAAGCGTTGGGGAGCCGCTCCTGACACACCTCCAGAGGCCTTTTGAATGCCCCCCTCCCGAAAACTTCGACGTTGCTTGCCAGCCAGGAGATCACGTTCCCCGGGATGTAAGAGCTGCAGTTGGCCATCGACTGGATCTCGACAGGCTTGAGAACGCGGTCCCAAATGTTCACCTGACTCAGCTCGCCCACGAAGGCCTGTCCGGCATCAAAGCGCCCGCCCACCACGTCCTGTGAGGGCCATAAACACCGGGAAGTACATTTTAAAGCATCATCAACAACAACATTATTATCCAAGGTAATTATCTTTTGAGATGAAGATGTCGTTAAGGTTTTTTATGTTTGTTATTGCCTCTCGTCTACACATAGTATAGTTTCAATTGAGGACACCGAGGTCAGGTACTTGGTGAATTTTGTGACTTCAGCAGCCTGGTTACTTTCTGTGATTACAAAGCTAGCACATTGTAAGAATTGTATTCAGTCAGATCAATATCAATAAACTCAATATATGGAAATTTGGCTTCTTTTCGCAGAATTTCTCCCCCATTGCCAGCAGTGAAAAGACTTTCAAGTAGGGAGATAAAACATGCAGGAAATCTAATAATATTTGAATTCATTTGAAAATATAGAAAAAACCCCACAAATATTAAAACTATCTATTGAAGGCTGAGCCTGACATGAATGTGATTAATTTTGCTGATATTTGATCACAAACCAGAGTAAAACAGGGAATCAGAGCTGCTGATGGCTCTGGATAAAAAGTTTGATGTAGCTTTAGTGTGGTTTTAAAACATCATCTCCACAGACAGGCTGCATCTCATTCATCCATTCTCACACAACACACTGATTGGTCCAGAGGGAGACCACAGCGTGTGCTCTGCAGTGGCAGGTTTATTCTTGTCTCATAGATTTGTTTTGTCAAGATAACCTGCCTCCATCTTATTACTGCCTGCTTGGCTCAGGGTGATTTTCTTGTTTCCACCTGCAGTTTGCAGAGATGCATCATAAGTAACACCGGTGGCTGGCAGAACTACTTGACATGAGGAATTGATATATTTAAGTGGTGAGGTGTGAGCATGCTGTGCTCGAAAGTTAATGGAACATTGTTAGTTGTGCTTCACTGTGTCCTGGATGCCACTTTTTGTGGTTAATTCTAGGACATAATAACTAAATGTGAAGACACAGTGATGTGTTGATTACAGACGAACCGGATCACTGAATTTCCCTGACATTTTAGGGTGCGTACCTGCTCCTGCCCCAGGATGATGACTCCCCCTGGTTTGATGGGGTGCCAGGCTGCTAGGTTGTCACCGTTTCCCAGCTTCTCTCCATTCTGGTAAGCCTCCCACTGGCCGTCTCGTGTCGTCCAGCAGATGCAGATGTGGTGCCACCTTCCGTCGCGTACCTCCAAAGGCAGTTGGGCCACCTATGGTCACAATACACTGCACTTAGTTGTCTTCATTATGTGAATTAGACTCAAATTCCACATAGTTCAAGAGAATTGAGAAAGCAGAGAGTTCTTGCCTTGTCGTTGATGAGAAGCTCTATTGGGTTGTTGCCCCACTCGATCAGCACAATTTCATTCGCTTGCCCCGGCACCCCGTACGAGAAGGGTGTCCCTATGCCGGGCAGGGCGCTGGACTTGATCCACATGCAGAGTGTGAAGGCGTACATCTCTGGCAGGCTCTTGGTGATGCGGCCGTACAGGTAGTTGGTCCGCTGGGGGAGGGAAACCTTAAACTGCTCAGGGGACATGAAATCTCCTCCCCCTGAATTGAGAAAGAGAGAGAGAGAAGAGATGAGAGGTGTTTCATGTCTTTTCTGAAAGCTGTTCATCTCTGCCTGGGAGTGAAAGCCTGGAAACAAAAGCAGCACCTCCCTTTACAATACATAGACAGTCATGGTTTAAAAAAGCCACACAACAAAATGTCCATTTTCATGTGATAAATGTTGAGTCTCTCACTTTTATTTCACCATCTCTGATTCATCAGACTCCTCTTTTACCTCTTGAGTGCCTTCCTCTGCCTCCCCTCCATTAGTGTATTATAAGAAAAAATAGGTTGGATGCTTTGATGGCATCATACATCACTCTCCACTTCTTTCATCTTCCACTTACATTGCATTAACTGTATACATCACCAGGGGTGGATCCAGGATCAGGAGACAGGGGACACTGGCCCCAGCTCCAATCTGATTGGCCCCTAAGTGACCCTGTCATTAGCTTTTTAATATATATAAACTAGTCACTTACCAACAATACTAACAATAAATATTTAAATTTACTATGTATTTTACAAACTCAATGTGCTAACAATTTAAAAATATATATTAAATTTGCACCTTACTGAATCAGCATGGATGTTGGACATATAATTGGCCCCACTGTGTAATTTATGGCCCCTGAAAAATCCTAGATCCACCACGTTCACCCAACAATCTACCTTTCTCCAATTTACAGTGACCTCCATGATCTTCAGTACAGCTACAGTCTGAGACCAAGGGAACTCTTTGCCAACACTGTTATATGATGTAGATTTGACACAGACCCGTAGTGTTGTCCTATACCTTTCTCCAGCTCACTGATCCGCTCCACCAGGGCGTTCAGCGTACTCTCTGTCTTCAGCCTGTAGGCGGCCGTGGCGTTGGACAACATGCTCTTCTCCTCCTCCAGGTTGCTGACTTTCCTCAGGAGCTGCTTCTCCAGCTCCCCGAGGCGACGCTGCAGCAGGTCGCGCAGCTCAGTGGGGAAGGAGGCGCCTGATATGTTGGCCCGCATCTGCTGTTGCTATAAGGAAAGGGATGGACATGGAGATAATCAGGCGGCAATGAGCCTGCTGAGAATTGAAAGTGATGCCTCATCTCACTGTTTTAAAAAAGCTGTGCTTCTGTATGAGAGGCTGGCAGGCCTGTGTATACACGTCCATCAGTGGACACTGGAGAGAAGTAAATTCTCTATATTGTTGGTCTAAGGTTTTGTTCAGTTTTCTGCACTATATTAAATCATCCATGGAAATGTACAATCCCTGTTTGTTCCAATAATAATACAGGAGAAGCACAAATTGGCAACAGAAATAAAAAATATGTGTTATGGATAGTTATCATATTTTGTGGCATTGTGTAAAGACTGGGATGAAGTTTAAGCTTATTTTTAAAACACTGCAGTTGAATGAACAAGCATAATAAATAACCCACATGGTCATATAATCGCTCCTGGGTAATAAGAAGTTTGAGGTTGGACAATGAGACAATTAATCTTTTTCCCACGGATACCTGAGTTTGATCACCAACATATGCGCTCCAACGATTCTCAGAAGTGCTACTGCTGAGCTGTGAATCTACTATGAGTGCTAATCCTACAAATCCGTTCTGTGCATCAAACTGTGCTTTTACGCATTTGGTTCAGGTGGCGTAATGCTTTGTGCCATATTGGTAGTACCTTACCTCCAGGTTCTCCAACCGGTCCTTCAGCCCTTGCATGGTTTTCCCAAGACTGTCAATGGTGCCATTGGGGTCTCTGGGAACATCACCCATGGTGTTTTGCTTTTCTTTGCCCCAGGAGCCACCCTTGTCGTACTTCCTATCGTCGGTGGCTGATGCGCAGAGGGACAGCTTGGTGGTTAACTCGTTGATTGTGCCAATCTGTTTGGAAATCGTTTCTTTCTGCAGTAAAATCGTCTCTCGCAGCTGCATGACGGTGTTTCTGAGCTCCTCTTCTTGACTCCCGACGGTCAGCTCCGGTAATAACGTCACAGGGCAACTGGCATCGCCGCTGAGGGGTACTGCCCGGCAGATGTACCGCTTCCCATCGTCAGCCTGGATGCTCGGTTGTTGACCCGAGCCCGGTGCAGAAAAACACACCAATCCGAACAAAATTGAAAACATACCGGTAGCAATCAAGGGAAAAGTGGGAAACTAAACACAAATCTTTAAGAACACTCTCCAACGAACGCCACTCTGAAGTTTGGTGCCTAAAAGTGTTCCCCTGCGTAGAAAATGCCCCAGAAGAAGAGAAAATACATCACGTATAACTATATCTAAAGAGTAGCGCCATGTCTAACCATCGAAATCAAGAAAGTTCTGAGCAGAAAATCCGATAAAGGGCGAGTGTGTGGCTGTAAGCCCGGTTCATGTGACTTGTGTTACCTGGACTATTCCTGGCACAAGCGGAGCGCGCAGTGTGGTGCTGATCGGACAGCTCCTCTAGGAAAGAGGATTACAAAAAAAAAGGTGTCTGAGAAAGCTCCTGGATTGGTTGTAGTAGGCTGACGTCACCGGGCTGGTGAGGTCAAACATTTGTTCACTAGTTTATTTGGAAAGTAAATTTAGCAAAGTACCAGGAGTTAATTGTGTCACAACAATTACGCTGATAAGGGAGGTGCCAAGTTGTGATTAGTTTTGTGGCTATGTGGAAGTGTAAGATTGTAGTCTGTGAAACATAACTCAATAAACATGGATCATAATCAGCTGATAAGGCCAGTGAGTTGATGTAATATGTTTTGAAATCAAAAATTACAACACACATGTATGGCACCCCATTTCACCTTATTCTAGTTTTTTATTATTTTACAGGTTGGTCATGCTCAAGTTTCTGTCTCATGTTTAGTGTTTTTATACTTTAATTCTTGTCTGACTGAGTTTTTATTTGATTTGTTTTTTTTACTTGTGCTTTTTTTAATTTGTGAAGCACTTTTGAACAGGTATTATTATTATTACTGTAATAAAATTCAGAGATGAAATATAATTTACAATAATATAATAGAGATATAGATGCTAGTTCATCCAGCCAGCAACAACATGACAAATCATTGAGACTGCAGGTGAATCTCTTTAATAAACCAATCGGTGGAGAAACAGGATGTGGTGGTAAACAATTAGCAGCAGCCGCCCGTGTGCTTCGGAAAGGTCAATATAGCGTGGGGCGCATACCACTGTGCTTTGAACATGGCGTCCAACCCTGCTCCAAACCACACAGGGGTTTTCTTCCTTTAATGAGACTCAAGGATGATGAGGCAGAAACTGTTTTATTGTTCAATTCTGGGCTTTAAAACAGTCATCTTCTGCAGGAAGTCACTTGTGGTGATCTGCATTTGCTCTAAATTAACCAAATAAGGACAAGTCATTAGAAATACACTGCCCTTTGAGTGATTAGGTGCAAATCTTACAAGCGGTTTCAAACTAACTGGTGTCAATATGTCTCAGCAGTATTTGACATATGAGGTCGGTCTGTACCATTTGAAATTGAAAGACTTTTTTCAGGTCCTTAACGCCTACTATAAATTAGTGTCACTATTCTGCTCTTATTCAACAAACAAACTATTAACATAAGGTCATTTATATAAAATACATCATAGGAAAATCATTCATAGTTTTTCAGTGGTGGAACAACTTTTAAAATGTGCTAATACAAAAACATCATTGTTAGATAGAACTGGTGCATCATTGTATAATGGTGTTTGACTGTGCAGCTCATGGTCAAAGTATAGCTGTAGTTTTAAACACTTTTCTAAACAGTTAAAAAGTTTATAGATTTTCTTCAACTAGCCCTTCCTGATCTTTGTGAAATGATTCCATAACCCATTGTCCTCAAAAATGTTTTGACAAATCTTTGAAGAACTCGTGTGTTATCATGTGAAAACCCAAATTAGACACAGATTTTTCATGAAGGACCACAGACAAAAATATTGGCAACCATTGCTTTCATCTTTAAAAATGCGTTGTGTTTATATAAACTTATCATGTGTTGCGACATTTATTTTAAGTCTCCCTATTTATAATGCAAGGGAGTCTACAAGTGATTAATTCAAGATTTATAATACACCTAATATAATTCCTAGCATATTTTATTACTGTACAGGCACCAAGCTCATAGTAAAATATTGTTATAAAACATGGCTTTATAGAAAAATGTGGAATTCCTTATGAAAACTTTATATTAGCAAACATTTGTATCCTCATATTCCTCACATGTGCTTATATACTTTACAGATTTATACTTCAACCATTTATTAAATGTTTTTATATTGCTTTTATTGGTAAATGGGGGGATTGAAATAAACTGTCACCTTCAGTAACTGAATCCAATCTGAGACATTGTGTCTCACATCTCACACACACCTCTCGACCCTTGTTCCCCTGCCTGCCTCCTCACTGTCCTTGAAGGCCAACATTTCCATGAGTATCATCTTGAAGTGAAATAGAGTAAAACACTTCTGAATATTTGAAAGGAAATTCAAACTGAAAATAAAAACCTTATAAAGGTCCAGTGTGTAAGATGAGAAATATTTCTCATGATGTTTTCACTAGTTTGTTTCAGCAAAATTGTATGAAGTGTAGTTTTCTTTACCCCAGAAAATTCCCTTTATATTGAAATACTTTACCTTTACATCGAGGGGACCCTCTCCATGGAGGCCGCCATGTTTTTTTACATTAGTCCAGACTGAACAAACTAAACACCTTTTGAGTTTTTATGACAATTAAAGGCTACCAGAGATTATTTTTCATGTTTGGAAGGAGAGGGTGAGGTGAGGGGTGTTCAGCTGCAACATGAAATTTCAACACAAGATATCACAAAATTCTACACACTGTACCTAAGACTTTGGCTATGTCATCGTCAAACATCTGCATCCATGGATTCAAGGCAGTTCACACAGATTTGCTGTACATTATTTTTGCTTTATTAATAAATTCTATAGCACAGCAACTATACTGCGTCAAGGCCGGTTTGTGTGCTGTGGCTCAGGTGGTAGAGCGGATCATTCCACTAAGCAGAGGGTTGGCGTTTCAATCCCAGTCTCTCCCATTCTGCATGCAGAAGTGTCCTTGAGTACGATGAACCCCAGCAGTGAGTCATTTGTGAAAAGGGTTGCATACAGATGCATTGTCTGAATGGTTGTGTGAGTGGTCAAGACCAGAAAGGTGCTAAAAATACAGACCATTAAGGCAATAAAAAGCATATATTTGAGAACAGAGATGAAGAGCAGAGTGTGACAGCAGTGAGTGATGAGGAACATCTTCAGTTTTTTTATACAGACTCTCCCTCCCCCAGGCTAACGCAGAGTATTTTACTCTGACATCACACCTACTCTCTTGCTACCCGGTGACAAAGACAAAAGCCCAGAAATGAAAAAGTCAGCCAGATGCAACACTGTCATCATTGGATAAAAATTTTGAATACCCACCAAAGCTGGAGGACTGTGTGATCTGAGTTGTTTACACAATCGTCTGCCTGGTTCACAGAGGACGCATCCTCTCATTTCACAGAGTTTGGGAGTGCACACTGGTAAAAAAAAAAAAAGAGTGAGTGTGGATGGGAGCTTAAGATGCAAGAATAGATTTTTCAGGGCTTATTGTTGATGATGACGCAGACTCAAGGAAAGTGCACTTCGTTCTATATGAGAAACAAAACAGGGGTGATCCAGCTTCATCAAGAGGGTTCGACAGTGCACTGACAAAAAAAACAAAACACATTTCTAATGGACAGATGAGTGGTTTTTGCAAAAGCTGCAGAACCAGAGAGTCATCCACTCTCCCTTCTCAGGATAAAGCCCCTGTCAGGAAGAAGAAAAACACAAATGAAGCGAATAGGACAGTGCAATAAGCCTGAGACAAACATCCTTTAGCAGATCATTATTACTAAGGGGACAGGAAGCGCAAAAGAGAATGAGAATGTCACATTACATGTCAAATTATATGTGACATTATACGTGACATTCACTGAAAAGAAAATCTCATTCTGCAGCCTTTGCAGCGGGCTCGCTCTTTGGACGGAGGAGGCTGTGGAGCAGAGAGTTGTGAATTAAAACTCATTAGCAGAGCATGTGGGTAGGAGACATGTTTGATAGATTAGACAAGATAAATAATGACCATCTTTCAACCAGACTTCATTATTCCCACAGCTATTAGAATAAGCATTATGTAAAAAAAAAGAAAGGGAAAAAAATCTCATGTCTTGTATGCAAGCTTTTATTTGTGAAGTACAGAGGCGGACATGACAGCGATTGAATTTGGTGGTGAGGATTTGGGCAGTGTTTAAAATGATCACTCAGGGTGATATACTGAGGTTTTAGACAATACAGGACTCGATTCAAGATCACTGAAACAGTTTTTTGGCATCTGAACTAAAGAGAGAAATATCTCAACTCGTTCCTTAAAAAATGATTAAAACTCTCTACTCCAGACTCCTGGTACGTCTCTAACCAACGTGGCACATCTTTTGTCACTGTCTCTATCTTATGAGAGTGTGTTATTTAAAAAAATCAGCCCTGAAGATCAAGATGCTTTGTTCTCATTAAGCCCACACCAGGCATCAGATTAGAACATGATGTGAAAGTGCAGTGACTGTAATGCTTGATGCAAACGTCCACTCATTTTATTCAAAGGGATGTGAGACACAGTTCCTTTTGTTTAATTCATTGAAGGTTGCTATTACGCTTGTTTTACTGGGAAATTGTACAATTTGATCTCCCACTGTCGCCCTCAGTGTGCTGCCATCTCGTGGTCAACACAAAACACATTAACTGGATCTTAAAGAAAACAGCGACTGAATGAATGAACAGTAGTGGAGGGTACAAGTACAAATAAATAAATAAACATGTATTTAAGTATTAAGAATATAAGTACTTGCTGATGTAGCCTGTTCCCTAATGCAACAGTCTATGGGTACAGCTGAGTCTCAACAGTGGCAGAGGGTAAAAGTACATATAAATAGAGGAAAATGTACTTAAGTATTAAGAATATAAGTACTTGCTGATGTAGCCTGTTCCATAATGCAACAGTCTATAGTCTCAGCGGGGGCATCTCTGCTGCTGCTGCAGGACTCTGGTGTTACCTGCTCGCTCTGATGGGATCAGTGGACCAATTCAATTTAAAAAAAACATTGTGAATGTGAATTAAAAGCAACGCAGAGACAAAATGTAGTGGAGTATAAAGTACAGATATTTCCTGACATATGCAACAATGTAAAAGTACAG